CTGAGTGCTGGGATTAAAGGGATGCACCACCACACCCAGCTCTGGCTTTTCTTTCTCTTTCTTTCTTTCTTTCTTTCTTTCTTTCTTTTGGGTACAACACAGATAATCCCACAAGTAAGGACTGTGGCAGTAGCAGGTGGCAAAATGGGAAGTGATTACACTGGTGGTTGTGCTGGAGGTTATGAAGACTCCTTCTTCATAACCTTCAAATAACACAGGTTGCAATGGTTACCTCCTTTTTCTTTCTTTCTTTCTTTTTTTGTCTCTTTGAGACAGGGTCTCCTTGTAGCCCCAGCTGTCCTGGAACTCACTATGTAGACCAGGCTGGCCTTGAACTCACAGAGATCCGCCTGCCTCTGCTTCCCAAGTGCTGGGATTAAAGGCATGCGCCACCACGCCCGGCATTCTTTTTAAAGATTTATTTTGCATTTATGTGTTATGTATGTGCCTGCATGAGTATATGTACATCACATACATGCAGGTGGCATTGGAGGCCAGAAGAGGTTGTTGGATCTCCTGGAACTAGAGTTACAGGCAGTTGTGAGTTGCCTGATATGAAAGTACTGGGAAATGGACCCAGGTCCTTTGCAAGAACTTCAAGCGCTTTTGACTGATGAACCATCTCACTAATCCCAGTAAGTGCTCTTAACCACTGAGCCATCTCTCCAGTCCTCCAGTCCCTTTTACTGTAATGTTTGATGAAAGTTCAGGGTACATCATTAAAACATAACTCGGGAGGGCTCGAGATGGCTTCGTGGTTAAGAGCACTACTTACTCTTGTAGAGGTCCTGAGTTCAGTTGCTAGAACCCACATGGTAGATAACAATCTATCCATAACTTCAGTGCCAGGGGATCTGAGATTCTCTTCTGGCCTCCACAGGCATTAAATGCATGAGGTATACTTACATACATTGCTGGCAAAACACTCATACACATAACAAAAATAAATCTGGGAAACTGTTTCTACAAAGGACTCATTGAGGGCGGAGACATATACTTTGCACAAATGACTTCATTTGCCCCCACCAAAAGGCCTGTGTCAGGGCCAGCATGATGGCTTAGTGGATAAAGGTGCTTGCTATCAAGACTGACGGTCCCAGTTCTATCCCTGGGACCTACATGTGCAAAACATACACACACACACACACACACACACACACACACACACACTAGTAAATAAATGTAATCAAATGTTTTTTGAGTTTTTTGAGATAGATTTTCCCTATCTCCCCAGCTTGCCTAGAACTCTCTGTGTAGGTCAGGCTGGTCTTGATCTTGTAAGAGATTTGCCTGCCTCTGCCCTCCACGTGCTAGGATCAAAGGCATGCACCACCACACCTATCTTAATTATTATTATTTTTTTGGTCTTTTTGAGGAAACAGGGTCTCCCTCCCTGCAGCTTCAGTTGTCCTGGGACTCACTATGTAGACCAGGCTGGCCTTGAACTCACAGAGATTCGCCTGCCTCTGCCTCCTGAGTGCTAGGATTAAAGGTGTGTGCCACCACATCTGGCAATTTTTTTTTTTAAACTTGGGTTTTTGCTGCTGGATCTCCCTTGTTGCAGGTGGCCAGCATTATTAAAGGAACTGATCCTGATCACAGGCCAGGTACGGTGGCCCACACCTTTAGTCCCAGCTCTCAGGAGGCAGAGGCAGGTGAGTTCGAGGCCAGCCTGGTCTATACAGTGAGTTCCAGGCCAGCTAGGGCTAGTAGGAGATCCTGTCTTAAACAGACAAATACATATAAATAAATAAATAAATAAATAAATAAAATAAAGGACCCGATGACCTGAAATCTGTTAAACATAATAAATAATAAAGCAGCAGCAATCAGTTTGGGAAAAGAGAGCTGACATATAGTTCCCTTCAGGAATAAGGTTTATTAAGAGGAAGTGCCTTGAGGCCATGATTGGGCTCCAAGGTAGGAGGAAGAGAGCATTTGATAGAAAATGGTGCAATATTTTAAAAACTGCATAACAAGATCTTAATGGGAAAGAGAAGCTTCCCTTTAAAATGGAATGAAAGAAAAAAAAAGACAAAAAAAAAACCAAAACCCAAAACAAAACAAAGTGAGGATGTGAGGATGAAGCTGGGTGTGGTGGTGCACACCTTTAATCCCAGCACTTGGGAGGCAGAGGCAGTGGATCTCAGTGAGTTTGAGATCATCCTGGTCTACATAGCAAGTTCCAGGCCAGTCAGGGCTACAGGAAGACCCTGTCTCAAAAAAAAAAAAAAAAAAAGGGGAGAAAAAAAAAAAAAAAAAAAAAAAGGTGAGAATAAAAAAGCAAAAAAGCAAACAACACAACAACAACAGACAAGTAAACTACAATGATGACGGGCCTTATTTGAGAATGAGGAAACTGGGCTTCAGAAAAGGGACGGGAAAGATCAGATAGCTGGCAGAGAAGAATCAGTTTTGAAGCCACAGTTAAACTGTAGAGGCCTATTTTGTACATCTGCCTCTGGGCCCTCTAGCAGGAATCCATAATAAAATCAGGCCTGAGGCTAGAGGGTCAGAGGGAAGACAAGAGACCTGCAGCCCTAGAGGAGGCCTGTGCTTGCCAGGAGAAATTGGTGAGGTCTGGCAACTATGGAGAGGCTGGAGGGACCCTTGAGCCTCTTAAGACAGGTTGCACTTGATACACTGAGAAAGGAGAGGTAGGCACAAGGGCAGCAGGGAACCCCCACATCTGGAGCTTGACTGGAACATGCCTGGAACCCATGATGTAGCCCAGGCTGGACTGGAATTCACAGTAATACTGCTTCAGCCTCCAGAGTGCTGGGATTAGAGTTATGAACCCACCATACCCAGCTCTGATGCCAAAATGTCTTTTAATGTGTTATCACTATACACACACACACACACACACACACACACACACATTGTGAGTTTTTTTAGTGTTTTTGAGACAGGGTCTCCCTGTAGTCCCAGCTGGCCTGGAACTCGCTATGTAGACCAGGCTGGCCTTGAATTCACAGAGATCCGCCTGCCTCTGCCTCCTGAATGCTGGCACTAAAGACATGCACCACCATGCCTGTTGTTGGTTTTTTCTTTTTCTTTTTTTTTTTTTTTTTTTGTGCTATGCAAACAAGGTTTCCCTGGCTCTGCCTCTGGAGTGCTGAGATTAAAGGAGTGCACCAACACACCCAGCTCTGTATTTCTCTTCTTACTAGTGAGATAGAAAATGCCCTATGGGAGAGAGCCAAGCCTGGTAGTGTAAGCCTTTGCTTCCAGCACTCAGGAGGCAGAGGCAAGAGGATCTCTGTGAATTCAAGGCCAGCCCGGTCTACATAGTGAGTTCCAGGCCAGCTGGGGCTATAGGGAGACTCTGTCTCAAAAAGACCAGTAGTAAAACATTTGCCTAGCATGTGTAAGGCCTTGGGTTCCAACTCCAGGGAAGAAGGAAGGGGAGGAGGAAGAAGAGGAAAAGGGGAGCAAAGACTTGAGAGAGAATTGAAGAAGAATCGATCTATTTTCTCAGCTTCGGAAAGGGAAGGGGGAGATCATCATATCCATTTTTCTGCTTTGATTTTCCTTGACTCCTATCTTGACTAGTACTTTGAATATGCTAATGGAGGTAGCTGGTGCAGGAGGAATTGTTTATACATGTGCATTCAAAACACTGGAAGAATAAACACCACAAAAGTTCACCTGGTTATCTGTGGCCAACGGGGAATAGGGTTGACTGAAGTGAATTCCATGTTCTTGCCTGCCCAGTGTACCTATTTCCTTTGGGCAAGATACTTTTATCCTACAGTGTGGTTGGCTACCCAAGACGAAATACTTACCCAGTATAGTGCCTTATTCCCTGGGCAACATTTTGGGGGCCAAGGATAGACACATTACTCGCTCAGAGGGATTCAAGGACTCCAGTCCTCAGAGAATATGTAAAACCTCTGCTGTTTGTCTCTCTCCCCTTCACTTTCTCCTTTTTCTTCCTTCCTTTTTTCCCCCCCCCCCCCCCCCCCCCGAGTTTCACCATGAAACTGACTTGCCTACAAGGCCATCTTCCTGTCTAAACACTGGGCACAAAAAAACAAAAAACAAAAAACAAAAAAACAAACAAAAAAAAAACAGAGGGAAAAACTGGATGAAGTAAATTGGGGTGGGGTCTTCTCTCCATCTCCAGCTGGAAAATTCATGAACTCAGGGATGAGATCTGTGCTAGGCAGTACCAGGTCCCAAGCTAGTGCCTCCTCTGCTAGGCTCCATGCAGCCCCACCTCTAATTCCTGCCAGTTGCTCCACTTCTAGTTTGAGCCTGAATTCAACTTATTCCCAAACAGCCTTGTATAAACCAACCTCGGTCACATCCCTTGGCCCCCTGCCTGTAACCCCAAGGAGCAGGTTTCTGCTCCACCCTCCCCATCCTGGCCCCCAGCCATAGGTCTCAATCACGTGGCACTTTGGCCCTCTTTGGCCTGCTTCCCTCAAGATCCAGATTTAACCTTCCCTCCCCCTTTCCTCTCTACCCTAGTCCTTTGGGCCACTCTCTGGGGAAATTATCTGGGATTTAAAGCTTTATCTCTGTTTCTCTTAAGGGACCTGGGGGCCTCAGTTTACTTGCCTATCAAATGGGGCCTTGATGCTCATTTCTCCAGCCCCCTACCAATCTAATGAGCCCTTCCAAGGGCCTAAATCTCTTTTCTCACTTGAGGGTGGGGACAAAGAGGAGAGGAGGAGATTAGGAACTCTAAGGGCTGTCCCAGAACTGCTCTGAAAGCAACTCCAGGGACAAACAGGCCAGCCTCTGGCACCTCACAAATGTTGGTTCAAATCCTGTTTGCCTCTGACCAACTGCTGATTTCAAAAGCTTCTCTCTGGACCTCACCTCACTTGCCCCCCCGACATAGGCCTTGTGGGAGACAAAGGGGAGCATCAGCAGAGGCTGTGACAGAACCACTGGGCACCCACCAGCGCCCCCCTTCCCTAGCGGCGTCGCCCCAGCTCCTAATCTCCGGGCCCTGGGCCGCAGGCTCCTCCTCCATTGACATCAGAGCCGCAGGCGGGCGGAGAGAGCCGCTGAGAGCTAGCCAAGTGCCAGCGACTGAACGGACAGGCGGACCGGGCGCAGCTGGGATCCACAGCAAGAGCTCCACGCCAGCCACCTCCAGCCGCCAGCCACCTCGCAGCTAGTCCCGCGGCCGGGCAGCCGCAGGTACTGGGGGCCACCTAGCCCCGCCCCGCCCCGTGCCCCTGGGCGCCCCCGCAGAGTACTGTCGCGTTGGTGGGAGGACGCCTAGGAGGGCTGGACCCTGGAAGGACAGAGCTGGGCCCTTCCCTGCACCTCGGCCCCAGGTTCGTTAGGTGCCAGGTGAACCCCAGGGATACTGACCTGATGTCAGAGCAGGGTGGAGATGGCACTGTGTGTGCATGTGCGCCTGCAGCAGGGCCTGACAGTGGAAGGGCGTGGACATTTAGAGCTATCGAGGGTGGGGGTCATGTGAGGGGTGCCCTAATGATTTAATGCAGACATGTGCTCAGATATGTGTAAGCATGACTAGAAATTCATTTTTTGTTGCATATGGTGTCCAGAGTGTATGTGCTGTGCCTGCACTCTGGTGTCTGATTTTAGGGGTAGTATGGCAGAGTTGGGGGAAGGTTCAGTAGTGACCCAAGGGTGTTTGAAGTTAGGTGAAGAGATGAGGTTTGGAGTATACGGGCAGTGTGTGGGGAAGAGGCCCTGGAGGATGTAGATATGAGTGAAGCTGCCATGTCTGGTATGTGGGCATGGATGCCATTCTGTTCAGGTGTGCACGGTACGAGCTCTGGAGTGTAAGGCATCCCAGTGAGGGATAAATAGGCAGGTAGGTGATAGAGCACGGGGGTATCTGGGGAGTGTGCATGAACATGCCCCACCCCCCCGTTTGATGGTTGGATATACATGTATAATTGATCAGGTGTCATGGTTTCTGGATATGAAGCGTGCTGGGTCTAGTAGGCCAGTGTTTGGGTTCAGGGCTCAGATGTGGGCTGTCTGTTGTATGGTGTGGAACCCAGAGGGTTGTGTTTCCCTCCAGGTGGGTTTAAGATTTGATTTCTAGAGTTTACTATCATCTCCTTTCTCAAAATTCTCTGACCCTGAGAAGGTGGCCAGTACCCCTGGGAACAAGGTCCCATTCAAGGAGTAGACTCACACAGAACCCTTATCAGGATGCCTTCCCTTCAGTCTCCCAAGAGGAAACAGAGGCAGCTTCCCAGAAGCTACAGGGTATGAGGGACTCTGTTTTGGCCTAACCATCTGTGGTTCTGCAATGTTGACTATGGGTTTCAGTCTAGGATCCCACCAGGACAACCCATCTATGGTCTTTGCCGTTAGCAAACTTAGCTGAGGCTACAGCTGGGTATCATACACCTGGGCAATTTGAACTTCATCCATCACCAGTCTGTTTCCCCATCTTTCATATGCTACATGGTGGGAGAACCCACCCTCTCCTGCAAGATGAGACAGAGGCCTCCAAGAGAAGGTCCCAGCTGAATTAGGGTTGGAGGGGGCCAGGAGGGGACAGACAGGGTGGGACCATTTTTCAGGCTGCTGGGACCCAGACAGGGAGTCAGGAGAGTTAGGCCTGGGGAGTTCCAGCTGTGGCTGCTGTTGCCTTGGTAACAGTGAGAAAGAGCTATTTAAAAACATGGCTGAGATATTGCTAGAAGCCCAGGCTGCCAGAAACCTGATTTCCGAGAGGCCAAGGCGGGAAGGAGGAGGAGGGAGAGGAGACACCCTAGCCCTTCATGGGCTGGGGCTAGGGCATCACTGGTTCTGGGGACAGGGGGATCCTCCAGGCTGCTAAGCTGCTCTGTGGTTTCATCTGCTGTCCTCCTAGAGGTGGGGGTTTCCCTGGTGTTAGGATTCTGAGAGGGAGAGACTGGGAAAAGACGGAGAATAAGGGAGTGAAGGAATGCAGGACTACTGAGAATTTTGCTGCTACCAGAAATTTTTCTAGGCCTAAGCACTTGCTGAATGAATGTCGCTGAATGAACAAATGACTGGTGAAGGCTGAGTGACTATCGATGAGTGGCTGGAGGAATGAATGAGTGCCAACTGTGGAGCTGATGGAACAAGGCAGTAGATTCCCAGAGAGAGGGCTAGGACATTCTGACTCTCTCCCCCCACTTCCCTTCCAGGAGCCCTGGCTGTGGCTGGGGGGCAGTGGGCCATGCCAGGGGCAGTGGAAGGCCCCAGGTGGAAGCAGGCGGAGGACATTAGGGACATCTATGACTTCCGAGATGTTCTGGGCACGTGAGTCTCATAGCAGGGGAAGAGGGTGGGATGCTGCCTGAGCTGGGGGCAGAATTGGGAAGGATTTCACTTCTGGGCCTGCTGGCTGGGGAGGATGAGTCTGGGGTGGTAATTCCTCTGGTCAGTTGACCAGTACTTCCTGTTTCCCAGAGACCAGATGCCTGAGCCATGGTGCAGACCAGCCCAGCTTTTGTTTCTGGCTAACAGTGGTTAGGATGAGAACTTCTCATGACAGCCCTGGGTTCTTCATGAAGTAAAGGAAGTGTGAGAGAATAAAAGGGTCATGTGTCCAGCCTGCTGACAAGAGTTGGCTATTCTGGTCTAGGTTGGAAACTGAGTCTGGGCATGGCTGCTTTTGATCATGGGAATTCCAAAATAATTCAAATCTGGTTTAAGTTGATCCTAGACATGCAGGAGAAACAGGTAGGGTATGTGCTATGTGCCCATTAAGGTCGGGAGTAAGGGCTCTGCAGAGGCCAGAGCTGTCTCTTCTGTCTGGGGAACATTTTCTGAAGAAGAAAGCATTAGATCTGGAGACTGAAAGACGGGATGGGTAGGCATGTGCTTGTCAGAAAGAAGTCATTTCAGGCAGGGAGAATAGTGCATGAAAAAGCTCAGAGGCACGGCACGTGTAGAGAGGGGCAGAGTTTGACATGACTCATGTGCCCAGAACATTTTAGAAGTCTTGCAATCACTGCTGGGGAGAAGAAAGAAGGGACAGGAGATGGATGGGAGCAATGCACAGAGGCTTGACAGTTGTTCCACAGGATGGAGGAAGGCATTAACACTGGCTACACTGACAGGGTAAATTGGGGAGCCAAGAATGGAAACCAGTGATGTGACCACAGTCACTACTTAACCTTGGTGACTGAAATGTTTCTATGAGGGACCTTTTCTTTGGCTTATGACTTCTTATTCTCCCATGGAAAACAAACAGATGCAGAAAGAATTCCCTAACAGATCCTCCTTAATCAGTGAACTTCAGTGTGAATAACTTTATTTGTTGCTAAGAGCCTGGTCTAAACCCCTGCTTCTTAAACACAGTGAGCATAGGTCCACCCATGGACCTAGCTAAAATGCAGAATTTGATTTCAGAGGTCTCGAGTATGTGGAGCCCGAGAGCCTGCATTTCTAAAACATTCTCAGGCAATGGTATGGTTCTGTGAGGTTCTAAAGGGTATTAGATTACCCACAACTCAAACTGACTTTAACAGGACAAAGGAATGAAGCCACTGTGAACATAATCAAAAAAGTCCAGGAGTAGAGTTCAGGCCTGGTTGGATCCAGGGGTTCATGTGATCAGAAAACTGTCTATTACTCAAGTCTGGTTTCCTTTGTATTGGCTTCCATCTAAAGTAGGCTCTTCCCAAATAGAGACAAAGGTGACTGCCCTCCACTTCAGCTTTACTTCTTACTAGGTTAGCAGGAAAGAGTAGGACCTCATTCTTACAGTGCCAGGAATCTGGCATATACCATATGACCAATCACTGAGGCAAGGGATAGAAGACTCTGACAGGCTGGGACTGGCCTATGTGAACACTTCTGGAGCTGGGGAGAGATGCGTGTTGGAGAACATAGGAGGGGATGGAGGAGAGGCCAAGGGAAGCTGGGATTCCAGTTCCTCACCTTCAAACCTATCTCCCACAGGGGTGCTTTCTCAGAGGTGATTCTGGCAGAGGACAAGAGGACTCAGAAACTGGTGGCCATCAAATGCATCGCCAAGAAGGCCCTGGAGGGCAAAGAGGGCAGCATGGAGAATGAGATTGCTGTCTTGCACAAGTGTGTGGGCCACAGCCTGTCCTTCCCCAGTGTTGGCCCTTTGTTGACCTCTTCTCTTTCCTGTTTTAAAGAAATCCTTTAAATTCTAAGTCTCAGAAGGCTCCCTTGTAAAATGTCAGTAAGAACATCCACTTGGCAGGGAGTGACTGGCACAATAGCTAACCCCACAGATATGACTAGGATGCTGCAGTTTATTTACAGAGGTTGAATCTGCTCATGAGGCCTCAAAGTTAACCACTGAGCAGGCTCAAACCCACATAGCTGTACCCATCTCAATTCCTTCCACATATTAAAGCAGACAATTTGCTGACCTCCTGACTAAATTAACAACCATCTGGTAGGAAATCTGTTCTCCCTACATAGCTTATAGCAAGCCTTCGCTTCACTATCTTCTGGAGAGGAGACAATCATTTCATTTCCCCTATTAGGTGAGGGTGGGAGAATGAGGCCAGAGAGGGCAAGAGACTTCCCCAAAGTTACACAGCAAATCTGTGGAGAGCGAAGTTATCCTTATTATTAAGCTCAATCACTACTAGTTCATTTATTGATCACTGACTATGTGCAGGTAGTGCCAAATGCCATGTCTACATTATCTCATGTAATCTTTATGTGACCTGATCTTTGAAGGGGGTCTGTCACTTGTCTCCCTTTATAGATGAAGTCACTGAAGTTCAGGTTACATTCCATTCGATAAATATGAGTACCCACTCTGTACTAGGTGCTGGAAGAAAAGTGGCGAGCAAGACAGTCCCTGACTTGGGGAGGTGACCTGGTGGGAGAGGCTGACAATGTGTAAACACAGAAAACTTAGAAGTCACACAGCCATCCATGCTTCAAAGAAAAAATACTAGCTCCCAAACAGCATGTGGCAGAGAAAGGATCTGGCCAGGTCTACTTGAGCCCATAGCCCTGTGCTTGCCCCTCTGCTCTCTTGCAGTAAATTGGGCTGAATCAGCTTTTCCCAGTGGGGAACCTTGGTATCAAGCCTCAGATGCAGGCACTGGGGAGTGACTGAGCCACCTGAAAATCTGAACCATCTCATTTCTGCTTCCAGGATCAAGCACCCCAACATTGTAGCTCTGGATGACATCTATGAGAGTGGGGGCCACCTCTACCTCATCATGCAGCTGTGAGTGGCTTGCTCCTGCCCATTCTCACTTCTCCTCTCTCTACTGTCCCACTCTCCTAGCCAGCCTGTACTGCCTCTTGCTGCAGGGTTTCAGGAGGGGAGCTGTTTGACCGCATCGTGGAGAAAGGATTCTACACGGAACGGGATGCTAGCCGCCTCATCTTCCAGGTGTTGGATGCTGTCAAGTACCTGCATGACCTGGGCATTGTGCACCGGGACCTCAAGGTGAGGTCTGATGAACTGAGTACCAGGGGTGGGGTCTCTGCCAATCCTGCCCAATCTGACCTTGGGCCTCTCCTAGCCTCTGACTGAACCTCAGCTTTCCATCTGCAAAACAGACCTGTAGTAACCCCTAAACCACCTCCTCTCATTCCAGATGACACTCACAAGGATTCAAAAATGGGCTGTTATTATTTTATCCAAACAGTATTTGTGCCTTTTTCTGATAATAAAACATCCTACTTGTTCTTTGTGGAGAACTTGAACGGGACAGCAAAGCCTCAGAGAGTGTGATGGGGGCTTGTGTTGAAATGCTTCATTCAGGTCTAGAAGGGATGGGACAGACCTGGGTTTGAAGTTTGGCCCTGCTCTGCTCTAACTGGCTCTTGGGCAAGTCTACCTCTAAAGGCATCAGTGTCCTCATCCATAAAGTGAACTTCAGACCAGCCAGGCAGGCACTGTGATAAAGATGAAATAAATATTCTAAGTTTATAGAAAAATCCCTCCCACACCCCACTTAGCTTTATCCTTTCTAGAACTTGTGGTTTTCTTGAGAATTTTTTCTTTTTGTGGCATTGGGTATTAATCCAGGGCCTCACACATATGATGTCAGGTAAGCATTCTACCACTGAACTGGATGTATGTACATTCCCTGCCCCCACTTTAACCTTTTCTATTACATTTCCCCTTTGTTATTAAGTTTTGGGGTTAGCATATAATAAAGTACTGCATTTCAGGGTTTCAGTGTGGCATCTTGTACATAGATTCTGCTGCACTTAGCTCTCATCAGTTCCCTTCTCCCGTGCCCCCTCCTCGTCCAAGCTGTCCCCTTCTTCCCCCAGTTAGTCCCCACTTCTGCTTTTTATAGCATGCATTCCATTGCTTTCTCTTTTTTAAGACAGAATCTGAGTTGCCCAGGCTGGCCTTGGGCAACTTGAACTTACTCTAGTTAAGGCATTTCTTGAACTTTGTTTTCCTGCCTCAACCTCTGAAATATCTAGGACTTCAGGCTTTTGCCAGGCCCAGGTTTTTGTTTTTCTTTTGAAACAGGGTCTCATATAGCCCAGGCTGGCTTTGTATTCACTCTGTAGCCAAGATGAGGCTGTCACTGTGGCTTTTGCGGGGAAGTCCAGTTTTTCAGTGTTTGGGGAGGCAGATGGTGCTCTTAGCCCTGCCTACCTCTGACTGTCCATTCTCTTCCTTCCCACCCTCCAAGCCAGAGAACCTGCTGTACTATAGCCTGGATGAAGACTCTAAAATCATGATCTCCGACTTTGGCCTCTCCAAGATGGAGGACCCGGACAGTGTGCTCTCCACAGCCTGTGGGACCCCAGGCTACGTGGGTGCGGAGTGCCCTGGGCTGGGGCTAGGGGTAAGGGAGGAGCCAGGAACTACAGGGCAGACATTTGTCACTATCATGTCCCCTTCCCTTTACAGCTCCTGAGGTCCTGGCTCAGAAGCCCTACAGCAAGGCCGTGGACTGCTGGTCCATAGGAGTCATTGCATATATCCTGTAAGTGGGGGCATGCCATAGTGGTGTGTAGCTAGAGCTTTCTTCCCCCCTGCTGTGCTCTTGCCCTCCTGCTATTCCTTCCTTCCATCCAGTTATATCTGCCAGCTAACTACTAACACCACTTCATTCAACAGATACTATGTTTCAGGCACTGTCCAAGCACTGAGGATTTAGCAGAAAATAAACCAAAGTGCCTGCCGTCAGAGAGCTGACAATGTAATGGAGAATCAATGAGTAAATAAATTTATATGATAATTTTAGCCAGGCCTGGCCTGGTGGTGCACGCCCTTAATCCCAGCACTCAGGAGGCAGAGACAGGCAGATCTCTGTGAGTTCAAGGCCAGCCTGGTCTACATAGCGAGTTCCAGGCCAGCTGGGGCTACAGGGAGACCCTGTCTCAAAAAAACCAAAAAAAAAAAAAAAAGATAAGTTTGCCTGGTAAACCCACCAAACAACAACAAAATACTGAGAAGAAAAATCAAGCAGGAGTAGGGAGATGGGTGGGAATGAACACCATTTCAGACAGGAAATGCCAGGAAAGGGCTCTGTGGAGGTGACACTGAGTGGCTATTTGAATGGAGGAGCCACACAATTGAGGTGCTGGAGAAAGGTTTGGCAGAAAGAGTGGCAAGCGCAAAGGTACTGAGGACAGCAAGATGGTATGGTTACAGAACAGAAGGACAGGGAGGGGAAGTCCTTCTTACAGGTCCTGACTCCCAGCACTGCCTCAAAGCTCCATCCCCTAGCTAATGAGAGCTCTGAAAATGGAAATGAGGATGGGTTTCTCCCTGCCCAGGCTCTGCGGCTACCCCCCTTTCTATGACGAGAACGATGCCAAACTCTTTGAACAGATTTTGAAGGCCGAGTACGAGTTTGACTCTCCTTACTGGGACGACATCTCTGACTCTGGTATTTGGGCTTTGCCTTCTTCTCTGGGCCCTGCCTCAGAGCCTTCCTTACTGCTCCAGGGGCCTTCCCACTACCTGCCTTCTGTCTCTTCAGCTCCAGACTAGCTGTCTGAGGTTAGATACCCTACCTTGGTTTCCCTCTGCTTGGCCTTCAGTCTGAGAGACTTGTAGCCATCCATCCATTCAGTCTTCAAACATAGTATTTTTTAGAATACCCTTCCCCTACTGATTCCCTAATACCTAAACAACCACCATAAATCTTCCCACCCCTCCTTTTGTGTCCCCATTAGGAACCAGCCTATAAAAACTCCAGTGGCTTACATACTGGTGTGAATGCACTGAGTAAATTCTTTTTTAAACATGTTAAGAAGAGGGAGCTGAAGGCTGGGGGTAGGGGGTTAGAGAAGGTAGGGTGGCACATGGACAGACCTGGCCTGTTTTGCCTTATTGACAGGCCAGGTTTAAGGGAGTGAGCACTGTCTTGGGGGTGTCCACAGTCGCTGTCATGCTGTGTCTTTGCTTTTGTCTTGGGGCTTCAGCCAAAGATTTCATACAGCACTTGATGGAGAAAGATCCAGAGAAGAGGTTCACCTGTGAGCAGGCCTTGCAGCACCCGTGGTAAGAGCCCCCTACCCCTCACCAACCTGAGTTCTGGGGTGGGTCCCGGGGGCTCCAGGCCTGCCTCTGCCCTCACTGGCAACTCTGCATATACCTCTGTGGTAGGATTGCAGGAGATACAGCTCTAGATAAGAACATCCACCAGTCAGTGAGTGAGCAGATCAAGAAGAACTTTGCCAAGAGCAAGTGGAAGGTAAGCTCCTATTCCTAGCCCTGGGTCTCAGCCTCACTGAGATGCCTCCCTCCCTACCCCAGGCTCAACTTGCACAGCACTAGCAACCAAGTCAGCATACACTAACTGATGTTTTCTAAAACATTTCCTTCATTATTCAGCAAATGCTCCTTGACATCCACTAACTTGCAGAGAGAGTTCCTGACCTCCAACTCTAGAGAGACAACAATTTAGTCTCCAGGAGTCACATGGTACAGCCCACAGACCCAAGAAGGGCCATAAAGGTGGTAACAGACCTGTCAGTTGAGTGGCAACTATCTGGACAAAGAGAGTACGCCTGAGGAACAGGTGTGGAAAGGTGCCAGGGCAAGAGAGTGTAATCACTTCAGAAAGTGCAGGTGATAAAGCATACTGGACTGGAGGGGCTGAGGGAACTAAGGGGACTGAATTGCAAGAGGTCAGGCTGGAGACGCTGGTAGAGGCTAGGCTGCTGAGGGCCTCAAATACTACAGTGGAGCACCCTCCTGGTATGGAGGGTGCTGTGGACCCCAGAAAGATTTAAAGCAGGAATGTGTCTGAAAAAAGGGCTCTCAGTATACAGGGAGGGCACAGAGAGAAGACTGGGAGGCCAGGTAGGAGGCTATGTCAGAGATGCAGCAGGTGGTGAGGGAATGACCTAGGGCAGCAGCAGCAGCAGCAGCAGCAAGAAGAATAGAGGAAGGGTCAACAGCAGGAGTCTTGCAGGAGGTAGAATCATAAGAAGCAAAGATGGCCTGGACGTGGTAGGGCATGCCTTTAATCCCAGCACTTAGGAGGCAGAGGCAGACGGATCTCTGTGAGTTCAAGGCCAGCCTGGTCTACATAGTGAGTTCCAGGACAGCTGGGGCTACAGAGAGGGCCTGTGTCAAAACGACCCAAAACAAAACAAAACAAAAAGAAGCAAAGATGGAATGCATGCTGAGGGAGGGAGATGGCAAGGGCTGGCCCAACCTTCTGGTTGGGGACAGAGCGGACAGTGGTACTAACTCTGATAGTGATCCTAGGGGCAGAAACATGTCTTAAGGAGGTAGTTTTAGGCTTGGACATGGTCAATTTAAGGGGTGTGTAGGACATTTAGGCAAATAAGTTGAACATAAAATGACAGAAACAAATATGTAAATTATGAAACCTTTCTGTACTTCATTTTCTTCCCTTGAAATTAACAATACTCCAGCACTTGAGAGGCTGAGGCAGGAAGATCAGGAGTTCAAGCCTGGGCTATATGAAACCCTGTCTCAAAAATAACAAAACAGCCAGGCATGGTGGTGCATGCCTTTAATACCAGTGCTTGGGAGGCAGAGGAAGGCAGATCTCTGTGAGTTTGAGGCCAGCCTGGCCTACATGTAGTAAGTTCAGGCTAGCTGGGGCTACAGGAAGACCCTGTCTCAAAAAGACTTAAAAAACTGCCAGGCGTGGTGGCACACGCTTTTAACCCTAGCACTTGGGAGGCAGAGGCAGGTTAATCTTTGTGAGTTTGAGGTCAGCCTGGTCTACATAGTGAGTTCCAGGACAGCTGGGGCTACAGAGAGACCCTGTCTCAAAAAGACAAAAAAAACAAACAAAAAAAACAACAACTAAAAAACCAAAACAAAACAGGCTGGGGATGCAGCTCAGTTGGTAGACTGTTTATCTAGCAAGAAACCCTGGGTTGGATCATCAGTATCACATAAAACCAGTGTATACTTGTAATCCTAGCACTCAGAAGGTGTAGGCAGGAGGATCCAAAGATCAAAGTCATCCTCAGCTGTATACCAAATTAGAGGCTAGCTGGGCTGCATGAGACCCTGTCAAAACAAGAAAAAAGAAATTAATGATATTAATAATTCTTGCCAGCCTGGTGTAAGAACGTATATGCCTGTAATCTTAGCACTTGGGAGGCTGAGGCAAAAATGCAGAGCAAGACTGCCTAAAACAACAAAAAGGAGCTGCCTCAGAGAATTTTGTGAGGATTACATGAATAACCATCCAAAGTGCTTAGAACTGTGGCTGATACATACTGTTATAGTATTTGCTACATGAATTACAGTTGTATGTCCATATATATATGTGTATGTAAATATATGACTGAATATAATTTAATAAGGCCTTGCCAAGACCTAGAGGAAGGTCTTAGGGAAGTTATTATATAATATCTGAACAATCATAGAATCATTGCAAGACCGTAGCTCCCTGGCCTTTGAGGCCCCTTCTCAGCAGTCCTTCTATCCCTCTTTCCACAGCAAGCTTTCAATGCCACTGCTGTGGTGCGGCACATGAGGAAGCTGCAGCTGGGCACCAGCCAAGAGGGGCAGGGACAGGCAAGCCACGGGGAGCTACTGACACCAACAACTGGGGGTGAGGACCAGGCATGTGGAAGGGCAAAGTGGTCCATGAAGAAGCACCAGGCTGGAGTGGAGTGGAGGGTCTGCACCATAGCCAACTTTGCCCTTTCCTCTCACACAGGGTCAGCAGCTAGATGCTGCTGCCGAGACTGCTGTGTGGAGCCACGCCCGGAATTGCCCCCTGCATTTCCCCCTCAACTCTAGGGCCCTGAAATGAACATCAGGAAAGTCAGAGTTTCTTCTGTGGGAGGGGAGTTACCTGCCCCATCCCCTCCTTACCCTTTTCCCTCTTATTCCTCAGTGCATTTTCCATACAAATGTTTCTATTTTATTGTTCCTTCTTGTAATAAAGGGAAGAAGATAAAACCAGACAACTCTGTCTTCTCAAACAGCGCCCCCACCCCTTGATTTGCAGGTGCCTGCCCCTGAGGTAGTAGTAGGGAGCCTTCCTGACATGAGACTAGGTGGGGATGGGGAGAGAAATGGGAAATGGAGGGAAAGATGCTAAGGAATTCTTTTGTCCCTTGGGCCCTACCTAGCCTTCTGGCCTTTTAGAGCCCTTTTTGCGCTTTGCTGGTGGCTCCTGATCCCGGTATGGTTGCTGTAGGTCAGCACTGAACAGCACCTATGGGAGGGGGCATAAGGAGTCTGTGGGGAGGAGGGCATGCTGAGGTAAGGGCTGGGGTAGATGGAAAGTGCCTGGGGTAGTTGAAGTCATAATGATAGGTGGCTGAAGAGTCCCCTGGGTCAGGCAGGGCTGAGGGAAAAGTCCTTTAGGGTCTGGGCTAGACAGGAGGCAAAATCTAGGAATACTTACTGCTTGCGCCCAACCAGCATAAGGTCCCCACAGATTCCGGAAAAAGTTTCCTAAATCAGAAGTGAGGAGGCTATGTTAATTAAGCCACCTGCCCTCCATCCATAGAGACAGGGTTTGCAGGCGAGATTGATCAAGAACAAGGAGATTATACCACCTTAGTCCAATGCCCCAGCATTGCATTCTCTCTCCTCACCCAGTTCCTTGTTGGCCAGGGGGCTTGGGCTCTTGGCCTGGGATGTGGTAGGGTGCCAGTTGTAGTCACGTTGGGCGATCTGCCACACATGGACATCCACGGGCACAGCCTGAGGTTTGTCTAGGGCCATTAGGCAGATGCAGTCAGCCACCTTTGACAAAGACAGGGTAGTTATGGAGGAATGGCAAGATCCAGCCAGCATCCTACATCTCTCTCCAAGCCATCTGCTTCCTCTTTCCTCTAAGGATCTGCTTTCTTGGTCAATACACAGTACATTACCTATCACTTCTAAAGAGAGCTCTAAGAAGACCTGCTCCTGAGTGAACACTGTGGACCATGTTCTCATCATAATCTGAGATGATATTATCGCAACCCTTCAGAGACAAGAAAACCAAGGGTCTAAAGGGTGAAGAAATGTCTTGATCAGAATTATGTGTCAGGCTGGGTGGGTGGCGCATACCTTAGTCCCAGAACATGGGTGGCAGAACTATATACTGAGTTCCAGGCCATCCAGAGCTACACAGTGAGACCCTGTCTTTAAATAAATAAATAAATAAATAAATAAATCACAAGGCAGGGATCAGGCAATACAAAGATTTAATGTTAGTCCATTAAAAATTCTTTAAGTCACTGGGTGTGGTGACGCATGCCTTTAGTCCCAGCACTTGGGAGGCAGAAGCAGGAGGATGTCTGTGAGTTCAAGGCCAGTCTGATCTATATAGCCGAGTTCCAGGCCAGCTGGGGCTACAGGGAGACCGACTCAAAAAGACAAAAAAAAAAACAAAAAAACTCAAGTCAAACATGGTGGCTCACATTTTTAATCCTAGCACTTAGGAGGCTGAGGAGGCTGAGGCAGGAGGACTGCTCTTGTTTGAGGCTAGTTTGGTTACATAGTTCCAGATAGTGAGACTTGTCTCAGCAAAAAAAAGAGGAATTTTTTTTTTTTTTTTTTTTGGTCTTTTTGAGACAGGGTCTCCTTGTAGCCCCAGCTGTCCTGGAACTCACTATGTAGACCAGGCTGGCCTCAAACTCACTGCCTCTGCCTCCCAAGTACTGGGATTAAAGGCGTGCATCACCACGCCCAGCTTTTTTTGGTCTTTTTGAGACAGGGTCTCTCTATAGCCCCAACTGGCCTAGAAATGGGCTGGAGAGATGGCTCAGCGGTTAAGAGCACTGACTGCTCTTGCAGAGGACCTGGGTCGAGTCCCAGCACCCACATGGCAGCTAACAATCATCTGTAACTCCAGTTCCAGGGGATCCAATGCCCTCTTCTGACTTCTGAGGACATTGCAGGACATGGGTGCACCTACCTACATGCAAGCAATACACCCATACACATTAAATACAAATAAATTTTTTTTAAAAAAGAAAACAGAAAATATTTGCTTCTCCTTCGTCCTTCCTGCTCTTCCTCCAGAAACCAGGCCTCCACATGACTCTCAAACCTGGCTTGTTTCCAACTCTCCTACTCTTAGGTGGGAAAGGAAAGGTTCTACCTCTTTGGGGCCTCACCTTGGTGCCCACTCCAGGCAAGGTGCAGAGGGCCTTGTGGGCCTCCTCATAAGGGGTCTCTCGAAGCTGCTGCAGCCAAGCCAGCCCACCTTGTTCTTCCATGATGGCTCGGGCACTGGCACACACATATCGGGCACGGTACCCCAGGCCTAGCTTCCTGAGATGAGCCTCTACTTCTGGCCCTGTGAGAGTGGACAGGAAAGGGGTCAGGTGTCCTGAGTTTGTTCCTGTCTTCAGGCAAGTATATAAGCTCTCTATCCCCGAGGGATGCTTTTGTAAGTACCTCCTCCCTCTGCACTGTCTTCTAGGAGTCAGTGGACAGCTGGGTGTGAAAAGGAAATAGCTAAAGCCTGGGTTCTGCAAGTGTTTTCTGGGCTCTGGAGTAGGGGCTGAGTATCTGTTGCTCTGGAAACTCCCTACTTAAGTTCTGTCCTGGTTAGTTTTTTATTGTTAACTTCATAAAAGCAAGAGTCACCCGGAGTTTCAACTGAGAGATTTCCCAGATCAGAGTGGGCTGGGGCCTTGTCTGTGGGAAATTATCTTGATTGCTGATTGCTGTGAGAGGGTCCAGCCCATTGTGGGCAGTGCCATCTCTGGGCAGGTGATCCTGGGTTGCATAGGAAAGCTGGCAGAGTATGAGCCAGAAAGAGATAGTAAGCAGTGATCCTCGATGGTTTCTGCTTCAGTTACTGCTTGAGCTCCTGTCCCGACTTCCCACAGTGATACAGTATGATCTGAAGTGTAAGCCAAATAAACCCTTTCCTCCCTAGTTGTTTTTGGTCATGGTGTTTAACACAGCAACAGAAGCAAACTAGAATAAGTTCGTTAGCCTTTCCTGAGAAGCATTCATACCCACGGCCTAAAAAGGTAATACTAGAGGATTGGGAGATGGCTTAGAAGGTAAAAGTGCTTATGGCATTAGCCCGTGGACCCGAGTTTGATCCCCGGAATCCATGTAAAAAGCAAGATACAGTGATGCACATCTGTAATTCCAGTATTCCTACGGTGAGATGGGAGGCAGAGATAGGAGAATCTGCTAGAAACTTGCAGGACAGTTAACATGGAGTATAAGGCTAAGTGACAGAAACAACAAGTGAGACTTTGCCTCAAAAACAAGATGGAAGAAGAGAACCAACTCCTGAAGGTTGTCCTCTGATTTCTACATGTGCACCTGCATGCCTGGGCGTGCGCGCGCGCGCGCGAGCGCACACACACACACACACACACACACACACATCCTCCACTTAATTTTTTTTTTGAGACAGGGTCTTCCTGTAGCCCCAGCTGGCCTGGAACTCACTATGTAGGCCAAGCTGGTCTCAAGCTCACAGACATTCACCTGCCTCTGCCTCCCACATTGCTAGGATTACACCACACCCAGCCTTCACTAAACAAACAAAAATGATTATAGTAACAGCCAGGGTAGTGTTAAGTGCTGGTGCTATGCATTCGCAAAGTGCACTATGCTTACTTTTTCTCTTGGGCCCTAATGACAGAACTGTTGTTTCCCACAATTTACAGATGGAGAAAATGAAGGCTCAGAAGGGGCTAATTAACTTATTCAAAAAAAAGACAAAGGTGTACTGGTAACCCCACTCAAAGGCCCATGGCAGTGGAGGTCATAGAGGCTAGGGGAGAACTTAATTCTGTTGTTTAGCTAAATGGACACACGTTCATACTACCTTCCAAACAGACGTTTATACCCATAGACAAATACCTTTGTCAATCTTAATCAGAGAAGCCAAGCCTCTCTTTCCAGTGAACTGCAAATGAAGGCAGAGACTTATGGTTGCACAAGGTGCTGAGAATACGTGACTGTTGAGTGCTTAACCCTGAACAAGACATTTATACCATCCCTTCCAAGGCTCAGGGAACACTGCAAAAGAGGGAGGAAGAAAGACTTTAAGAGCCATAAGACAGATAGGGAAAAGGACTGTGAATGGTCCCCTTCTGGGTAATATACAGCCATTAATCACAAACTTTCAACTACTATGGATCACTACTGAGTCTGATGGGCCCTACCCCTCACTGCTGAACTAATTCCTGCCCATAGAGTCCAGGAAAGGCAAAGTTACTGCCTTCAGATGTGTACTCACTGGTGACCCCTCCAGGGGTCAATTCAGCAATAACATTGATGGCTCTGGTTAAACTAAATGGATCACACAAGACCAAAAGTCATGAATTTGGGAAAGGGACAGGTAGTAAAGAGGGGGAGTTGACAGGGATATGAGGCATATGAAAGAGGGTGGAAGGAGAGAGCAATCAGAATGCATTATAAACATGTATAAAATTGTCAAAGAGGGGCCAGAGAGATGGCTTAACAGTTGAGAGCACTGGCTGCTCTTGCAGAACTCAGGTTTGGTTCCCAGCACCTACATGACAACTAACAACCATCTATAACTTTAGTTCCAGGGGATTCATTGCCTTTTTCTGGCCTCCACAGGCATTGCATGACAGGGATGCACTTAGATACATGCAGTCAAAACACTCATACACAAAATTTTTTCCTAAATTGTCAAAGAATTAATAAAAAATAAAAATAAAGAAAGAAAAGAAAGAACACAGGGAGTGGTGAGACAGTGTGGTCAGTAAAGTGCCCCCTAAGCAAGCAAACCTGAGTTTGGCTCCTCAATATCCATGTAAAAAGCTGGGTGTGATAGTGAATGTCAGTAACCTCAGCACTAGTGAGGACAGAGAGAGACACACATCTGAAGCTCATTCAGCAAGCCTAGCTGAATCGATGAGCTCTGGGTTTAGTCTCAAAAATTAGTGTAGATGAGAGATAAGACACCTGACATTGGACTTTGGCCTCCGCATGCACACACATGGGCATACACCCACACATGCAAGTCCAGATATACACCATCCACCCAGTCACCCACAAACCCACCCTCTCCCCCACGCACTAAAAAAGGGCATGATGGAGATGGGATCTTGCTATTTAGTCCCCAAGCACTTTACCTAGCTTGGTGTTCATATCTGTCACAATATACATATACCTATAAAACATTTGTATCATAGGGCAGGTGAGTTAGATCTACTGCAGTAATAGGTGCCTGAATGTTCCACTTACTTCCTGTGTGCCAAACACTGTGCTAGATATAGGATGTGTCTCCCTTTAGTCAGTCTTCATGATGATTCTGATAGTAGGTACTATTATTACTCTACTTCACAGGCACAGAAACTAAAGCACAGATGTTAAATAATACACATAAGTGCCACAGCTGGGATTTCAATCCAGGCAGTTTGTCTCCAGACCTCAGATTCTTACCCCTAAACTGCTGAAAACTGTAAGCACATGTTTCTCTGATGAAGAAGTGAACTGACTGGCTTTAGCAGACTAGTGAGGTACTGTCATTTCAGGAATGAAAACAGAGGATAAGTTGTAACTGGGGCTGATCAGACCAGGCAGGGTGGATCTGGATGGAGAGAGTGTTAGGGAAGGAGAGAAGCTTTGAGATCAGAGTTGGTAGGAAGGGGAAAATTGAACAGGTCTTCCTGTCTAAAAATTGAAGTGGGGGGCCGGGTGTGGTGGTGCACAACGTTAGTCCCGGCACTCGGGAGGCAGATGCAGGCAGATCTTTTGCAAGATGGAGGCCAACTTAGTCTGCATAGAGTTCCAGGCCAGCTGGGGCCACAGGGAGACACTGTTTCAAAAAAACACAAAAAAGCCAAAGCCAACCCCCCTCCCCCAAAAGCTGAAGTGGACCCACCTACTTACCAGCCAGGGCCTGCAGGCTGGGGAAGCCATGGTAAGTGGTATCATCAAGCTGGATGAGCCGTGGTCCGAAGGCCTGGCATAGTCGTTCCACCATGCCGGTAATTCGAGCAATGTTATTGTTGGAGGAACAAATGAAGGAGAAAAGGCATTCAGTGGGATCTTGTCGAAGCAGTCGCACACCTAGAAACCAGAAAGGCAGGGGCTAGTGGATGCACCTGATCAGGGTTGGCTTCTTCCCACCCCTTCACAACAGATTCACAATGCTCCAGGGGGATCTCAGGAGAATGTAGAGAAAGCAAGGCCAGATCTCTCATGTCTCATAGGATCTTGTAGAGACTGGGTGACCATCCCATTTTCTGAGAAGAAGCCACCATGGCAGGAATTTGTGTCCATTTTCTTCCTTTTTTTAATCCCTGGGCACAGAGCAAATGCTCTGTATATTTACAGAATAAATGATATCACTCGCTCCAGGACATATAGCCAGGATCAGGCCCCATATCTTTATCACCATCCCTGCCCCTTATACTCACTCACCTTGGAATTTCTGAGCCACTTTTTGGAAGTGGGAGTCCACAGAAGCCCAATGGCTATACAGCTGAGCCAGGCTGACATCCAGCTGAAAGTACTTGCGTAAGGTCTCAAGCTCCTCTAGGGCTGGCCTGCCAACCTGGCCCTTGTCACCTCTGTACACAGTGCAGTGGAGCTGCTCCTCAGTCTGAGTCAGTGTCCACACTTGGTCTGCCAGAACGCCACTCCAGTGTGCAGGGCTTTGCTCCCGCCACCTGAACACCCAGGTACAGACAGCTCAAGTACTCAGTTACCCATCCTGCACACTTTGAGGTCTCTCCCTTCTTTTTTTTTTTTATGGCTGTAGGGTGCCAGGGCCAGCGTGCCAGACCCCCTCACAGAGGTCTCTCCCTTCTTACAAATGTCCTACTCACAATCTGATTTGTTAATTATAAAGCAAAATCGTATCTTTTTTCAATTATTTTTGTGTGTATGAGCGTACTGCCTGCATGTAGGTAAGTACACTGTGTAGTGCAATACCTATAAAGGTCAGAAGGCGTTGGATCCCCTGGAACTGGAGTTACTGGTGGTTGTGAGCCACTATGTGGTGCTGGGAATTGAACCCCGGTCCTTTGCAAGAGCAGCTGATGCTCTTAACCACTGAACCATCTCTCCAGCTCCCATTCATCGATTATCTTTAAAAGCTACCGGGGAGCCGGGGATGGTGGCACACGGCTGTAGTCCCAGCACTTGGGAGGCAGAGGCAGGCGGATCTCTGTGAGTTCAAGGCCAGCCTGGTCTATATAGTGAGTTCCAGGACAGCTGGGGCTACAGGGAGAACCTGCTAAAAAAAAAAAAAAAAAAAAAAAAAAAAGAAAGCTACTGGGAACTGAACCTAGGGCCTTGCATATGCTAGACAAGCATTCGACCACTGAGCTATACATCCCCAGCTTTTCCACTGATTTTACTGCATGCTCCTCACAATCCTGCTCTACTTCATAAAGGTTAACAGGCCCACCACTAGTGCTTCATTTATACAGGCCCCCCCCCCGTACACTCCCATCTACCATCTACCACTCCCAACATTGTTTGCATCCCTAGTGGGGAGCGCTGATGACCTCCCAAGCGCACTCACCGGAAGGACTGTCCAGAAGCTAAAACGAGGTCCAGACGCAGCTCTGAACGTGGACAGGGGATTGACGCCCAGAGGGCTGGGCTGGAGGTAAGGGTTCGGTGCTTCATGCTCCCAGGCACACAGGAGCAGGATACCATTCGGACAGCAGTCCCCGGCCCATCGTGGCTCGGTCCACTCAGAACCCGACCTTCCAGCGCAAAGATCCCGCCCACAGTGGCCACGCCCCCTCAGAATCTAGCGCTCTGGGTTCTAGCCTCTAGATGTTGTGTAAAGCGGGTCCAGGATTCATTTGATTCTCCTCTTCCGCACGGCCAGTCTTTGTCTGCACAAAACCTTGCCCCGCCCACTCTGCCTCGGCTATCCTGTGGAACAGGCCCGTCCTCTTTTGGCTGAGGCGGCCTCGCCCCTAGGACTGCCGCGAGCGCGCCTCTACCCTCAGAAAGCCGCGCGTGCGAGCTCTTCCGGCTTTTCCAACGGCCTACCGGAAGTAGAGCTCAGACGCACCTTCTTTGACCCCCCACTCCCCGCAAGAAGCAACCAATCCGGGGAGGAAGCGAGAGGCGCCAATGAGAACTCGGATGGGGCCGGGGTGGGCAGGCTTTTCCGAGGCGCCGAAGCGGTTAGATGAGGGGCGCTAGCCGAGGTCGGCCTGGTTCGGGTCCCGGCCTATGCGACTTGGTGCCCGACGCGCGCCACGTCCAGTCCTTCCAGTGATCTCCAACGGGCCCTGCGACTCCGGCAGGCCCACCCTGGAACTGCGTCCTGGCGGGGCGTTGTGGCGCACGCCCGTCCTCCCAGCACTTGGTAGGCAGAAGTGAGCTGGAAGCCAGAGCCAGGCTGGGCAGCGAGACCCGTCTCCAGGAACGAAACAGAAAAGAAGACCGCGCCCTCCCTTGTGCTTGCCTCTCCTCCGAGGCCGTTCAGTCTGAGAGAATCCCGAAGGACTCTCCCAGCATGGTCTCCTCCACTCGCCTCCATCCGGCCGAGACCACGCAGTCTCCAGGCCTCCATCCAGGCTTCAGACTCCTGAGGTTAGCTAGCGTGGGCCACGGCTAGCCATCGCAGCTGCCCCTTTATGTCCTGGGCATAATCCTTCAGTGTACCCACCTGCTGCGCACAGCCCACCCGGGACAGCCGGTGTGGGCTTTCTTTGGGGCTGGGCCCAGGTCCTAGACAGGCAAGAGCTCACTGAGTCCCAGTACGGTAGTGTGGACCCCAGGCAGCCTAACGGCCAGTTCCCAGTACCAGCCCCCTGGACCCAGAAACCGTTGTATAATTTACCTTTCTCCAAGATGTTAAAAAGGCTGAGGACTAGGAGACGTGAACTTGGGACATGAATCTGACACACGAGACCATTTTTCCCCTAGCATTGTGGGGTTTTTTGTTGTACCTAAATTAATGAAGTGCAAATTTTTCAAGGGAAAGTCCTGTAGTTGATGTATCTTTGTGTCCTATCTAAGGCAGCAGGGCACAGCACACCAACACAAACTAATGGGGTCTTTTGTCTCAGTTTCATTCTGAAGTAGCTTCAAGGCCTTGGGCAATGGTAACTTACTGTGATTCCCTCCCTCATCTATAGAGATCCCACAGGTGTTTGAATAGGAAATGACGTCAAGGCTGAGTATGTATGAAAGTAGCCCTATACAATCCTACTTTGCCCCCTGTTTAACAAGGAGGCCTCAGCTGTAGTGACTTGGGCTATGGTCCTGGCAAAGCCTCTGAAAGCCACAATGGAAATCTGCAGTGAACTCATTTCAGCATCCAGGTTGAAGAGCCAGCTTTGCAGACAATCTGGAGTTTAAGTCCTAGCTCTAATTTCTTGTTATAGGCATTTTGGTAAGTTAATTTTTCTAAACCTCAGTGTCTGAGGTAACTAACCCATTATTAACCCACCCCATAATTACTGTAGGGATTATACAACAGTATATCTAAAGGTACTTAATAAGGTGCCTGCCACGATAGAGACAACTATACTATTAGCCCACCCCATAGTTGGGCTGGCCTTGAAATCATGGCAATCCTCCTGACTCAGCCTCCCAAGTCCTGGGATTGCAGTATTGCATCACCATACCCAGCTTGCTGTTCTGTCTTATAACTAGCATGTGACCACTTGGGTACAATTACATTCCATCCCTGAGGTATAGCCCACCCTCTAAATCACTTTGCCCTGGTGGAAGGCAAGAACAAAGAATTCTAAATAGACTTTATTTTCTAAGAATCAATATATTTTCTTCCTTTGAAATAAATACAAACCAGTTTGAAAGGCAGGGGTAAATCTATGGGGAAAAAGAAAGGAAGTGGAGACAAGCCCCGGGAAAAAGAAAAGAAGTGGAGGAAAACCCCCTTCTTTTTTTTTTTTTTTAGTACCAAATGACTCTGGCGCGACTCGGAAACGCAGTTACAAATGAGAATAATTTAAATTCTCCGATAATTACAGTATTTACAACAGCAGGGGAGGGAGTCACCTAGTGCCCCTCTTTTAAGCTAGACAGACATCCCACTGCTAGGCTGGGCAGATGCCCGCTTACCTCACTACCTGCAGGGGCCTCGGGCCTCTAGGCAGTTATGGATTACCCTGGCATGAGCAGGCAGAAGTGGTGCTATGGCCTGTTTTATGCAGTGTTCTTTCTAACCGTGGCCCACCACCCTGCCTAACAATGCCACGAGGTCTCAAGCTCTTTCTGACCTGTGGGACCTCCCTTCCCTTGCACTGAGTGGCCATGGGCCCTTGGAGTGTTTTGTACAGTCCAGCTGCACTCAGGGCAGGAGGGACCTCCCCTACCCAACTTCCCCTGAGACTGGCCCCAAGACCAGGAATGAATCAGTGCAGAGGCTGGTGCCACTCCAGGGCAGTGAGCCAAGGGAAGGAGAGAAGTACTGTAGGCTGAACTGTGTCAGTATCAGTCACTATCACTGGTTTCACTGCTCTGCTCACCCTGCACCTTGCTGCGGTGCTGCAGAGCCCTGTGGTAGGCGATCTGCACTGACTTGCGGATGTTGGATTTGCGGCCCTCCAGCATCTTCTCTTTGTCTAGGTCCTGGTTCACACCCAGAGGAACAAGCTTAGTTCTCGGTAGCCACTGCCTATAGTACAAGGTAAAGATCAAATAAGTCATCTCAGGGAGAACAAGTACTAGTCCATTTATTTAGAAATACCTAAGTATCCACGGTGGCCATACTGTTGGGTACCAGGGTTACAGAGACCAAGACACACACAGTCCCTGCTCTTAAGGGACTGTGCCATATAGTGATAAAAAGAGCCCAGTCAACAGTTATAGTAGGGCAGTAACTACAAGGCATTTATAGGTTTGAAAAGCCACAAATAGGTATTGTGTCCCAGCCACTTCAGGCAGACTTTACTGATAATTATCATCTACAGGCTAAAAATTTGACAACAGTAAATGTTTATGCCTGTTTTAGTCTCATTTTGAGCCATGGAGGAAGCCATCTGAGTGTGGGCAGAGAGCCACCCTAGTGTTTGTCAGTTATCAATAGTCCTGGTTTCTATCTTAGTTTCTAGTTACCAGCTACTACCCACTCAGCCCATCAGACTTAAGGTCAATACAACCCTTTCTGCTCAAAGAACTAACTCCCTCCCCCAGTGACTGTAATAACCTAGTCTGTTGCTAGGTTTCTTGGCAGTCTGCCTCCACACTGCAAAAGGCTGTATTTGTACTTGTAGTTTTAAGTCGCACCAAATGCTCCCCTCCTTCCTTACCAGGTTCGTTTGTTGTCAAAGAAGAGAACGAGGTAGAGATGCTCTCGGGCTTCCTGCGTCATCTGTTCCCCAAGTTTCAGCACCTCCAGTGGGGGTACAGGGATGGGAACCCCATGGTGGAACATACCTTCTCGGGGCATCTTTGGATCAATGATCTGAGGGTATAATACAAGCCCAATTTGGTTCAGGTCACTTCTTCCCCAAAGCTAGCCCTATCCAAGAATTAGGAAACTAAGTCTGGAGTGGGGAAGACAAAAAAAAGTTTTGCTACTGGGGTTGTTGTGCTGACCTTATGCTTCTTCCCATGCTGAATTATTTGAGTCTAGGGGCAAGAGACAGGGCAAGGGGGAAACTGACTGGAGGCCTCTCTAGGGTACTCAAGCTGCATCTGTCTACCAGTCTACCTAGGGAACCCTGTGTTCTATAGCTCAGCAGGGAGAGGGAAAGTCTACAGTTGTGACTTCTAGTCCTGAGACTGGAACAAAAGGGGCAGGACAAGAGAAACCAGAGCCTACCAGCGCTGGGTATGATGGATAGCCTCGGCATTTGGCCCACACAAGGTCCAGAGCATCCAATGGGGAGTCCTCATCCTCTGACAGCCAGCTGGCTCCTCGGCCCAGACTCTTCCTCACCACTTCACAGGAATGGGAGAGAGGGGATGGATCAGCAGCTGGGGGACTGGCAAGGCTTTGAAACTGGGTTCCCAGCATTCCTGGCTTTGGGTGAGGGTACTTACTGCTGTGGCCCACGCCGCGGCCAGTGCTCACGGAGTAGGCCTCATTCTCAGTGCCTGAGGTATCTTCACTGCTGTCCTCTGGGAATGTACCCCGAGAGAAAGAAGGCTTGCCCCGGCCTTGTTTTGAGGGTGTTGTGCTGTTGAAAGACAAATAGAATGCAATTCAGAGAAGCATAGAGAGTGGCACGGCAGGTGTTTTCTTCTTGGTAAGTTCCCAAAGTCTAGTCTTTTGGAAGACAGAGAAATTTTCCAACTCATATACTCTGAAGGGTTAGGCTAGTGATCAGACTAATGTGGTGCTCCATTGTCACTGAGGGGGAGTATATGCCTATCTATAGGAAATAATGACCAGAGTTGCCAGGTCCCCTATTAATTTTATTTTGAGGTACTACAGATTGAACCTAGGGCCTCTACATGATAGACAAGTGCTCTAGCACTGAGCTCCAGCTCCAGCCCTTTGTTTTTTCTTTCTTAAAAAAATATTTTATGGGGCTGGAGAGATGGCTCAGTGGTTAAGAACACTGGCTGTTCTTGCACCCACATGGTGGCTCGCTATATCTCTAACTCCAGTTCCAGGGAATTCAGACAGCCTCTTCTGTCCTCCGAGGGCACTGCATGACATGGGTGTACATACCTACATGCAGATATAACACTCATACACATAAAATAAAAACAAAAATAAAATATTAAAAAAAATATTTTATGAGTGTATTGCCTGCATGTATCTAAGTGTATCCTTGCTGTGCAATGCCTGCAGAGGTCAGAAGAGGGCATTACTGAACCCAGGTCCTCTGTAAGAGCAGCCAGCACTCTTAACAGCTGAGCCTCTTTCCAGCTCCCTTGTTTCCTTTTTTGAGACAGGATCTTGCTACATAAGTAGCCATAGCTAGCCTGGCACTTATTCTACAGCCTAGGCTGGCCTTGAGTTCACAGCAGTCTTACTTTAACCTTCCCAATGCTGGGATTACGGGCATGAGACAATATGATTTGTATTTGTGTGTGTGTGTGTGTGTATGA